AAACCCTAAACCCTTAACCCTTTCTTTGGGCACAGGACAGCTTCGCCACGCGCTGGCGTCTTTCGTCGATCTCCTGGGCATCTGCCGTCGGCGCCCCAAATCTCTCAGGGGCACTACCGGGGACTTAACAGATTCGGGTTTAGGGTTTAGGGTTTAGGGGGTTCTTGTTATATAGAATGCGGCTTGAGCGCAAAAGGGCAGTAGAATTAAAGAGTGATTGACTACAAGGGGGAGTATGAAGGACTCCAAGGGGACAGTGTTCCAAATTGTTGCGGCCTTTATTATGTACTAAACTTGCGATGTCACTGTCAGGCACCGTCATTCAAGGGAGGCTTTGAAATTCCGTCGGCGGCGATGAACGAACAGCCTCAAAAGTGGCGGGGAATGTCCGCAACTTCATACATCTCCAGCCCTCTGACCAGTAACTTGGACACAGCTTTGGGTCTCGTCCTCAACTAGAACCATCCCGGTAAGGCCAAAGACACACAAATTACGAAATCCTTTCCAGCCATAAACTGTCGCACGACTTCGGGGTGTTGGCAAAGGCCTGAAACCTCCCACATTCCGAGACCCAGCTGCCTTCTGCTTCAGTGTCAGCTTGGCTTCCTCCGTGTTGCGGTTGAGCGCCTGCTTAACGAAATCAGGCGCTGCACCCCAACTGAACGGAGTGGGTCGGAATAACTAGCAATAGCTACCATGACCTCGTAGTTCCTCTCAAACTGCGTACAGCTTCGTAACGATGCCCCTACATTACTACAGCCGTGAACGCCCGGAAACATAGACTTGGAGCCAGGTTCTGGTGCTTCCGAGTTAAGTTTCGGAGTGCCGCTCGGCCGAAGGAACAAGGTCTTCTTGTTCAAGCTGGGCTAAAACCTCGGAAACCTCAGGGACCCTAATATAGGGGCCTTGGTGATTAGAATGGGGTTTTGGGGGCCGTTATACTATAAGTATAGTAAGGAACCCCAAAACTAGTATAGGGAATTATTTAGGCCCCTACATTACTGTAGCTCCTATAGACAGCACGATCTTTATCATGGGACGACCCTGGACAGCTCCTCGGCCGTATTGCAAAAACAGACAAGGTTCGTACATACTAGGACCTTTACTATGTAGACGGATTCTCAAACAGTAGGATCCTGACTAGAAAAATCTCAACCCCGGTTTTTCAGAAAACCCGATTTAGGGTTTCGAGGGCCGGTGCTGACAAGGTTTAGGGACCCAGAGACAGCTGCGAAAACTCTGCTGGAAAGCCCCATAAGTCCTCAACCTGCGATCCCAGGGCGTTAGAAACCTCCACGACGAAACGCTAAACCTGGGGGACACAAGCTTAGGGCTTAGGGTTCCTTGGTTTGGGGTTCAGGGGTTTATCATAGCCCTCCCTATCGGTTCTGCT